TCTTCAGTGGTTTATTTATTAGAACAGCTGCATATGTGTTAAACGAGAACTGCACGAGACTAAGATCTAACATAGAATTCTTTAGATGAAACCCTCGAGCTATTTTCTGTGAAAAGTTGGTGCCACATGTAAAATCGTCAGTGGGACAGCGTTAGGTCTACGGAGTTATAACGCTAAATTCGGGGTTTAATTCCCCGCGTAGATAGCCCAGTGTGGCTTTACTCTAAAACGAACTTAAAATCAAGAGAATTTTACGTAAAGAATTTTTATGATTTTTTTAGAACCTCTGATATGTACTGATTTGACCCCTGAGTAGCTTAGGACGAAACCTCGTGTACTAACGTATATTTATTTTCGTATTAGCAGAGACTCATTTAGTAATAGTAAATTGCACTCATTGCTATTGACCCTGTGATAGAGTTTCGGAGCCCCTGAACTGGGTTCGAATCCGTGCAGCACCACAAAATATTTTCAGCACTTTGTAAGAGTGATGGTCAACCCATTAGGCCTAGTAGTTTTTCCATAAATACAAATACATTGTTATGCGCGAAGTCAGAAGTTGACGATTATACGAGATGTTGTGGTGGTGGTGGTTAGAAGTTGACGATTATACGAGATGTGGTGGTGGTGGTGGTTAGAAGTTGACGATTATACGAGATGTTGTGGTGGTGGTGGTGGTTAGAAGTTGACGATTATACGAGATGTTGTGGTGGTGGTGGTTAGAAGTTGACGATTATACGAGATGTTGTGGTGGTGGTGGTGGTTAGAAGTTGACGATTATACGAGATGTTGTGGTGGTGGTGGTGGTTAGAAGTTGACGATTATACGAGATGTTGTGGTGGTGGTGGTGGTTAGAAGTTGACGATTATACGAGATGTTGTGGTGGTGGTGGTTAGAAGCTGACGATTATACGAGATGTTGTGGTGGTGGTGGTTAGAAGTTGACGATTATACGAGATGTTGTGGTGGTTAGAAGTTGACGATTATACGAGATTATTTTTGCGATGTGTATATATATTTATTATTTTCTTGCCTCATTGCCATATAAACTAGCTGAGTTGGTAAATAAGCCTATGGAATAAAAGCAGCATGTGATATGTAAAGCTAACAAGGACAGAACTCTTTAATCAATTCTTCCAAATAACCGTACGAATTCTTAGTAAAAGCTTTGCTGTTTTGAAAATTGAGTTCTAAGGTAGTTTAAAACGTCACAAAAAAGTGTATTAAGTCAACTAGACGCAGTGGACCCAATCGCACCAGTTTTTCAACAACAGCTGGAGTGGTGCTCTCACATTCCCTCTCGATAAAACATTAATTGAAGTGGTTCCCACACCATACGGTCTCGACAACAACAGCTGGAGTGGTGGCAACAACACAATGTTTGATCCAGCATTATCTCCACCACTTACAATTTAAGAATGCATGATTGGTTTTATATTCAGAGTACTTTTGTGTCGTTAAAACAACTGGAGTGGAACTTCAATAATGTATTCAAGTAGGGTAATTACACACACCGTGGAACACCCCCCCCCCCCTAGGGTAATTACATACACCGTGGAACAACCCCCCCTACGGGTAATTACACACACCGTGGAACAACCCCCCCTACGGATAATTACACACACCGTGGAACAACCCCCCCTAGGATAATTACACACACACCGTGGAACTACCTGTAAATTGAATGACAACTTATTTTAGAAACTAATACTAGTTTCATGTTTAACTAATATTACTATGTAGTTGTAAAAGTATGTTGTTTTTTGGAAAATCTTTCCGTTACTGTCTACACAGTACATTCCATCCAGTTAACTGTTCACGGCCTTCCTGATTCCTCGTACAAAAAGCACTGATAAACTTTTCTGCAGTCTTGTTTTTACATACAATTTTCCACGCTCTTGTGAACACAGTGTGTTAGTCAGTGGTAAGTTTACAGACTTACAATGCTAAAACCCGGCGTTCGATTCCCCGCAGTTGACACAGCAAATAGCCCAGTGTGGCTTTGCTCTAAAACATACAAACAAACAAAAAATAGTTTACATTATCGGGGTTAATTAGACATGATCACTGTATGAAATGTTACGGTTTAACTTTCAAACCGGTTTGTGCTAATGTCCATGAATGAGTGCGTGATAAAAAAACAAGACAACCAGTTCCAGCATAACGAACTGGGACTGATCAAGATCTGAAACCGGCTGCAGGAATTTTCGGAGGATTGGTCGAATGAATGTACATTGAAACTCGATGTTTTTAAAAATTCCAGCAAATTAAAGGAGTTTTGTGTATAAAAAAAATAGTTCTTTTTTTCACGTGATACAGACATGATACAGGTATCTCAATTCATATATATGTTTTATATAAATATATTATTTTTCTCCTTAACGGTAGTTTAACGAGTTGTTTTGGAAGGTTATTGAGTATTCCAGCGTAGATAAAAGAAACATTTCTGTGTTGTAGTTTGGCAAATTTTGTATGATAAAAAAAAACTATTTTTATTTCACTTTTTGAAAGATAGTTATTCTTGAAAGCACTCGAGGTTTGTATGAAACACTGATTTTGGCTTCTTATTTATTTTCATCATTTATATACACACTGAGTAGTGCAGTGATAACTTGGCAGCGTCTCATTGACATTTTGTGATAACAAACTGAAAAAAGACGTAACAATAGCTTGAAGAGACTCAACTATGCCATTGTAGTTATACGTAACAATAGCTTGAAGAGACTCAGCTATGCCATTGTAGTTATACGTAACAATAGCTTGAAGAGACTCAACTATGCCATTGTAGTTAGACGTAACAATAGCTTGAAGAGACTCAACTATGCCATTGTAGTTATACGTAACGATAGCTTGAAGAGACTCAGCTATGCCATTGTAGTTATACGTAACGATAGCTTGAAGAGACTCAACTATGCCATTGTAGTTAGACGTAACGATAGCTTGAACAGACTCAACTATGCCATTGTAGTTAGACGTAACAATAGCTTGAACAGACTCAACTATGCCATTGTAGTTAGACGTAACAATAGCTTGAACAGACTCAACTATGCCATTGTAGTTAGACGTAACAATAGCTTGAACAGACTCAACTATGCCATTGTAGTTAGACGTAACAATAGCTTGAACAGACTCAACTATGCCATTGTAGTTAGACGTAACAATAGCTTGAACAGACTCAACTATGCCATTGTAGTT